CCCACACCCACACCCACACCCACACCCACACCCACACCCACACCCACACCCACCCACACCCACACCCCCATTTTTGTTCTTTCTCAAATATTAGTTTTTGTTCGCTCATATTGTATTACACATATTTATTATTCAACACTATAAAGATATTTAATATGATCAGGTTATTTTATTCAATCGAACGCAAACAAGACTTCGAATCAATTATCAAGTAAATGAAAGAAGTTATTCTTCCTCGAAGTGTTTCTATTGATGTAGCACGTGAAAATGAAAGAAAAGTAAATACTCTTTCATTCTTTACAAGTAAAAAAACTACGTTATCGAATGAAGTCCGTCTATCTTTTTTTTTACTTGACAAACAACAATTAATAAATATAATAAGAATTATTTATTTATTCACTAGTATTTTTCTTTAAGATATCAACACATCTATTCCATAAAAATAATTGAAAATTTCTGTTTTGTACTTCAAAGTTGATTAATTCAACACTTACCTGTTTTAGATATCTTATGTTCCAGAGTAATAGCTTTAAAAGCCGGAGCAAAGTGAATAGAACTACGTAGTTCCAGGAATTCTTGGAACAGGTGAACTCTACATAACACTAACTATGTTGTTTCCTTTTCTATAAGAAATCGAATCGATTCGTATTTTTGTGAAACTGAACCGAATCGAGCTAGTTTTTTAAAAAGTTCAAACCGAATCTGTTCTATCCGTTTTCTACCTATATTCATCGAACACATGTCATTATGTTGATCAAAAAAAGCATAACAATATTTTTAATCAGTAAGATCTTTCAAAACATTGTTAAGTTGAAATTATTTTTACAATATATCTCAAAAAATGGATTAATTAATTCAATTTACGAATTGAACAAAGTTATGCAGACATCTTACTTATGGAAAGTCTAATCATTTTTTACAGTCATTACAACAAAAATGGTTACGAGTTTATCGAATCTCAGATGCAAAAAATATTTTAAAATCTATGAAAATCAGTTACCGACGAAATTTAAAGAGTAAATCCCATTGCGTTTGTTTAATGACCATTTATTTTCAAAAAAAATTAATCATTATAATTTGTCTTTTATTTTTTCCATGATCCTCATTAATACTTTATTATGAAAAGTTTTAAATGAATAGTTAATTATTTATATTTAAAATACAAATGTTCAAATAAAATCTGATCAGATATTTATGTTCAAAATGAAAAGAACATTCTGTGCTATTCTTTACTTTCTTATAATGAGCGAAGGCCAAACGAAAACAGAAGCAGTTGTTCTTACTTTTCGTATGTTTTAATATGAATATTATATAAAAAAAAAAGGCAATCCATTAGATAATCAGGGCACGCCCTGCCTTTCAACAATTAATAGAAAATTTTCATAACAAATGACATGGTCAGTTATATCTATCAACTGAACGATATTGTCCGTCATTTGTGATCTCTCGATTTGTTTCTTCAGTGTTTTAATGACGTAGACACGTCGACAAAAGTCATACGAATTTATTATGTAAAAGAAATATAATTCAGTTAATCTTATTTTGATCTTCCTAATTAAGAATAATCAACATTTAACTTATTTTATATATTAATTCTTTGTCGTATAAGACAAGCATAGTAGGAAATTAATGACAGATAAGCATTTATTTTCTTTACATTTTACAAAAATCTAATACAAACAAAGAACTTTCACTTCAATCAATGAACAATAACAGCACATCAGATGTCAATCAAACAGATTTATATATCGATTAACCTGCTACTCTTCGTCCCCGATACCGTCGTTCTTCGATTTGTTGTTCAGCCATGCGTCGACCAATAAACCAATCCTGAAAATAAACAAGAGATGTGAATACCGTGTAGATTCGAAAGAAAGACTACTAACAGCTAAACTAATGAAGAAATCAAAATCTTCAGTGTTCCATTGCTCGGCAATTGTATGAAGGTGATGAGATAGAGGATATTTGTTCACCGTATAATCTAGTTAATTCAATTCCGTATTAAAAGAAATTACAATAGAAAAAAAATACACTTACATTGACGTAAATATTCAAGTTGTGCATTTGTGAATCTTTGTTCTGCTTGTGCAAGTTCTAAATATGTCGAATCTAGTTATGCTTCATGGCAAAAAAATTAAAATCAAAAATCATATAAATGACTTGTAAAGAGAAGTCAAATCTTGCAAATTTTAGACTTTCTCTTCATCGTTGTTATTAATTTATTTTCACATAGGTTTAAAACTCAAGTATTTCTTTTCTTATTAAACTCTATTTAAAAGTCATTTCTTAGCCAGAAAAAACTGATTTCTTGTTCTAAAACTCTTTTTTTTTCTTTGTCTTGTTTAAATTATCTGCTACAAAGCACAGGCGGTCACGGTTCGGTTCGATTCGCAACTTTTGATACAGACCTGTTCTGATTCGATTTTGTACCAACTTGTCATAGTTTAGATCAGTATTCGAACATTTATAAAGCAAGGAGAGTAAATGAAAATATTCTCATAAACAGCAGTGAAAGTATTTACATTCATTCTTGTCTTTCTTCGTCTCACTAAAAACAAAATGGGAATGAACCAGGTGTATCTTAAGTACAGAAAAAGAATTCACATAATGAACTATTGACTCAAATTCAGTGCAATATGAGTACTTCAGCATACTTAAGACGTATACTACTAAAAGATCGTGATTTTACATATATATCTAAAGACTCTCTCTTTATAATAGACAATTATCAGATGTTTTATTATGTACAGATAGATAAATGGTATGGTAAATCTTTGAAATAAGACGAATAAGTTATGACGAAAATCACGTAGATTTCATTATCATTGACAGAGTTTCTCAAAATTCTTTTTCCATTCGGTTTTAACTTTTTTGAAAAAAAAGTCGATTTGGACTTCTTTAATTTTCTCTCGGTTCCGATTCGGTTCAAGTTTTGCGATGCTTAATGAAGATCAATTCTGTACCAAATCAAATGTTCAATATATTAATTCTCAAAACTAATCAAAACAATAGCCGAATGAAAAAACAAAAATATGAATTCCCATAGAATTTTTTCCATTGATGAGCTAATTCTCTACAGAACAAATAATCATGGAAAGATTGAATCAACTAAAATTTCATTTTTGTCTAATTCAATTGAAAACACATACTTCTACGATTACGAGGTATGCAGAAGCACAGCAGTGTGGTGACGTAAGAGCAAGTAAAGAAGTAATTATAATCAAATACTTAATCAACTGATACGAAAAAGAGAATGATCTGTATTTTTGCTTAAAGATGCATATACTTTCAATATGACAACAGCTATGAACTTGAGTTATATTATTTTCTAAGAGATTTGATCATGAACAGAAATGCTTCGTTGATATATATTTCATTTTATAACTTGTCATTGCGAGGTCGTTTACGGATAAATACTTTCGAAATTTCTCGTATGTAATAAAATATCAAATTGAAAACCTGAATATAGTTACTATCCATATTAAAGTGACAAAATGTGTACAGTTTTCATTTAATAAACGTCTTACTTGTAGCGCATTGAGCAAGCATATCTGGATTCAAACCATAAAAAGCCATGAAAACAATCTCCAAAAAGAAAGTCTGTCAATACAATTCAGTGAATTGCATAATTTATTTCTGACATAGAAAAATTTATATCAGCTCATATATATATGTCGAATATGTTCATTGAAGGACATAAGAGGTCAAAAAAAAGCGGACATGACGAGCTTTCTTTCATAAATAGATGCAGCGGACGAAAATAAACACTGATATACATGAGCATTTCGACGACAATAAAATGACGTCGTTAGTGAAAAAGGAAGAGAGAGCAGCTATATGAAAATGAATAAGAAAAATATATTGAACAAATATATTTGACGTTTGATGTACTTGGCTCGTTGTTAGACAAGAATAAATTGATATTTGAATTTTCTGTTTGATTTATTTGATAAGAAAATAATCGGTCAAATAACTGAACTCGTTTGTGGTTGTCCTTATTTTGTGACTTTGATGATCGTCGTGTCTAATTCGATCCATGTCGAGAAAATGAAATATTTTTTATTTAATCTATTTTGCCATGCATAAGTCGATACTACTGCACCCATGCAAAAAAATGTTGCAATAATCGGATTATAATTGATTAAATATTGATTAAAAATCGAGTCAAATCATACACTTTTAATCGATTTTTATTTGATAATGAATCGATTAAAATCACGAACAATCGATTATAATTGCGAACAGTCGATTATAATCAAATAAACATTCATCTAGTGCGCTTAACCAATTAAAATTGATTGCATTTATTTGTAATCGATCCATTATCAAATAAAAATCGATTAAAGGTGTATGATTTTAATCGATTAAAAATCGATTGAGAAACGGTTAAAATCAACTGAAATCAACATGCATTGGTATGATCAGTATTTCGATTGTTTTCAGTGATAATGGATTCTTTTCGGAACACATATTCCTATTCAACGAACGATAGAAACAAATGAAAAAATAGTTTTTTTTTGAACACAATGAATTCATTGATATTCCATTCGACTAAAGGAAAAAACAAATAGATCAGATTCCTTTGAAAGAAAGAAAAAAATAAATGAAGAATAATTTTTTAAACGAAAAAGGATTAGTCATCTTCCTTCTTTTAGAAAGAAAAAAAAACATTAAAAATGAGTTTCTAAAAAAAAAGGAAATAAACAATTCAAAAACAGGTTTCTCAGAAAAAAGTTTGCTCGTACATTCTTCTAAGAGGTGAAGTTAATAGGTGAAAAACGATATTTTGAAAAAAACACAAGTTTCATGATATTCTCTCCTTTACAGAGGAAATAAATATCTTGTAATATAGGCTTCAAGATTATAAGCAAGTCTACTTATATTCCTTTCGTATATGGTTTTAAGATGTTCTTTTGCTATACTCTAATTGATTGGTGACACATAGCGTCATCTTTCATATATTTTTGAAAAAATAATGTTTATTTTTACGGAATTTTCATCGAATTTTTTATTTTTTTTATTTCAACAACATTAAAATAAAAATTAAAGAAAGATAATAAAAGGCCGAAAATCAAAACGAAAACCAAAAACACGGATTGGTTATCATTGATTTGAATCATCGATAACTAATTTTCTTTTGGTTTTCGTTTTCATTTTCGGCCTTTTTCTTTTACTATCACTTCTCTTAAACTTTAAAGAAAAATTACTCTTTTTCAGATAAAACACAGTCATTTTTTATCAAATGGATGATCGTCAAAATCTTCAAAGTCTCCAAAAAGCAGTATGATAAGACAAAATAAAATTTTTTTTTTTAAATGAATTGTTAATTCTTTAGATCGACGATCTAAATGATCGACGTGTATTGTTGGATACTACATTAACTGATATGTTAAGAACAGGACATCCAAAAGGACAACCACAAAATCTTGATGTCGAACGTAATGAGTTAGTCATTCAAATTATAACAACGGAAATTCCATTTGTAGCTTCGAAACATAATTTATTGGTCTATGATAAAGAACAATTTCTTAGACGTCAAGGTGAAAATAACAATGCTAGTGTTGTTTCTTATCAAATGGATGATCTTCAAAATCTTCAAAGTCTCCAAAAAGCAGTATGATAAGACAAAATAAAAATTTTTTTTTTTAAATGAATTGTTAATTCTTTAGATCAACGATCTAAGTAATCGACGTGCATTGTTGGAAACTACATTAAATAATATGTTAAGAACAGGACAACCACACAATTTTGATGTCGAACGTAATTACTTAGTCGTTCAAACTATAAGAATGGAAATTCCATTTGTAGTTTCGCAATATAATTTATTGGTCTATGATAAAGAAGAATTTCTTAAACGTCAAGGTGCAAATAACAATCCAGGTGTTGATGGTGGCAATTCCAGTATTAGTGGTGACAATTCCGGTGCTAGTCGTGACAATCGTGGTGTTAGTAGTGGCAATGCCGGTGCCAATGTTCATCATTAATCGTTTAAAAAAAAACGTTTTTTTTTCGTCTTTTTTGTTGAATTAGGATGAAAAAATATTTTTGTCTTTTTTGTTGAATTAAGATGAAAAATTCAGAAAATAAAAGAAGAAGAATAACTCCTAATCTATATACATAATAATCAGTAGAAATTCTCTAGAAGGATGTGTTAGATGGGGTCAAATAAGAACAAACTGATTTCTGATTACTACGACGATTTTAAGTTCATTGGTTTTCAATGTTTTCTTAGGATTTTTTATACTGTCTGTAAAAATCTGAAATCATATTAATACTGTGTTTATTTTTAATGAATGCTTCCATACTAAGATTAAGGTGTGCTTTTGTGATCGATAATAAAGTATAATCAATATCCTTCTAGAGAGCGGTGCATAAAGTTTGTGAGATTTTTATTTTCAAGTTTTTTCAAAAAGCAAAAGTATATTTCAAGGCCTTCGTTATTAGCTCATTTGATAGAGAATTTCTTACTGTTCAAAACTACAGAGTTTATTTTTTAGGTAAGCTGTTCTTGCTGATGATAAAATAAATGCAATAATCGATGATCTATTGCTCAATTGCGATGGTTTAAAAGCAAAACTGATAAACAATTTTTAGAATAAGTGTTCTGCCAAAATCTGGATATGCTACTAAAGTGGTCATAAAACTGTCAGTTTATCGACATATATTAACAAGTTTTTAAAGAAATATTTGAGAGAAAATTCTGTGAATAATATTTCGAAAATTTCGTAGATTACTCTTTTCTGTTAGTTGTTTGCAAACGTTTGTTCATATTTTATTACAGCCCGATCGTTTCCTTTCATTAGTTTAAATTTGACGTCAACAATACTTTGAAGAGGACATCTAGAAAATATCATTAGATGTTAGTTCCAAGTCTTTTATTTCTGAGAAACAGATTATAAGCCTCCCAAACATGCTAGAAGTCTAGAGAATAAAATTCCTTATTATAAATGCAGAATACTTGTAATTTATTATAAAACTTGATGGCACACAAACTCACATAAATCGATTGATGTTCACCGAATATATTGCAGACTACAGTTGATTGGTTGATTGTTTGTTATTCTATTAAACCTTTCGCTCATAGGAAAATCTTATCTGGAAATCAAAGTCGGAAGTTTTGTAGAGCGAAGAAACCTGTCTCTTGAACTTAGAATGCAGTCTTTGGAATGTGTTTTCAATTTCTGAAAAAACGAAATTAATAATGGTTCATTTTTCATAAGACATCTATTGCATATTGAAATGATAGCTGTTTTTTTTGAGTATAACTCAACATTTTGAATCGTGATCGGATATTATAAAACTATGCATTTGCAACTATTGCTCATCTCTAAAAATTTTGTTCACGCTAAAATTCGAATATAATTTGTTTTAGAAGACCACAGTGAGTTATAAATGTATATGAACAAGATTTTCGAAAATTGATTTTATAATTTCTAGTAGCTTTCATGTAGTGGCGTAGTTACCGAGGGGCACGGGGGTGCAATGCCCTCCTATAAATGGTTTTGCCCCTCTGTAAATTTTTGATCGAAAAATGGCGAACTCTTCGATATTTCCACCATGAAATGGTATGGTGGTGGTGGCCTTAAAGGATATGTGACTTCATGCGATAGAAGAAATAAAAACTTCGTATTTCAACAACCATCGCGAGCGTGACCACCTTCGGCGGCAAAAAACTGTTGAGACTAGAGATCTGCTTGACCAATTTTTGGGAGTTTTATGAGACTGAGCCAAGCTCAAAACCTTTGGTCCTGTGAAAACAGTCACTTTTCAATAAAAACTGAATTTTTGGCTGAAAGAAACTCAATATTTATTATAAGTGCTCGATAAGCAACTCCATCAACTTTCCAAAACGGGTATCTTCGGTATTTTTTTTTAATTTTCTAAAACCTTTCGGTATTTTTTTCAAAAAATTCTCTTTTTTCTATGAAATCTTGAAATTTGAAAGCTATTCGAAAATGAATTATATCGATTGATGAAATTTTAGAAAACAAAACAAAAAAAAACACAATTGAACAAATCTATGCAAAGAAGAACTACTGAACGAATCGATATATATTCCAGCTAAAATTAAACTTGCACAGAGATTCATATTCTAAAGTGCTAATCAATGACTACTTCTGCATTGATACAAGAAAAAGATTTTTCTAAATATTTTAATTTTTGAGCAAGTGAATATATATATATATATGTTCTAAATATTTGACTTATTAAATTCCGAGACATGATACAATATAACTTAACACATTCAAATGTTGTCTAAAGAAAATAAGTTTAAATATTCTTAGGTTTGTTTTGAATGACTCTTGCTAAAATAAACTATATTTTGATAATATTAATATCAATAGTAAAACTATGAAAAAGTGTACTATTAAAAGATCGAACGAAAACTTATCAAGAATCATTTAATGAGAGAGACATACGGCACAATATGTCATTCTTTATAAAAGTCATCTATATCAAACTTCGATTCATGTCAATAGATATGTGTTCTATTTATATAATAGTTAATTAGAAATATTACATCATATATTTCTAGATAAGAAATTGATAAATTGAAATCAACTAACAACACGATATATGAGAATTTTTATTTCATGATTGTTTTCAAATTTTCTGATCATAATCTCATTTTCTTCTTCTTTTTTTTTGATCTTTTTTTCTTACTAACTTACTTTTGTAGATTCTAAAGTTTTTGTGATAGATTCATGTGATCAATATTTTTTTTTTCTATATTGGCTAGACTATATCTTCCATGAAAACTTAAGAACGTTCAATAAGCAAGTTATAAAGAAATCTGTGATACAATGCTGAAAATATGATAAAATAATTTATATGAATACACGAATATAACAAACTTTTATGGAAAAAAAAAATCGTTTTTTTTATACCAACACACACAAAAATGAAAAACAGACGTGTCAGAGCTGCACATGTATGAGTACATCTTGTATTATCCTCTTTCACCTACTATCCCACTCACATGTCACTCTATTGTCATATATAGTCTCAAGAAACCTACAATACTAAAATTCATGTATTATGTATTATGTAATATGTATTATACATATCTGTGTGAGATGAACTCATATATATCCCTTAGAAACGTAGATTTCTAGAATGCATCTATGATGTATTTTGTATTATAATTATATTTTCGTTTTAGCATATGGATACATGCTAAAAACCTAGAGTGGTAGGATTACTTTTTATTCTTTCTATTTATCATTATGTATTGTTTTAATAGAACATCTCTCTTGATATTATACTGTTTCGCTGGTGTATGTTGAGGCATTGGTTTATATACTTAACCTTTTTGTCAGTGTCTCAGTATCTGATTAGGTTCGAGAAGAATGTCGAGAGGATTGCGTTCTGATTTATGATTTAGTTTTTTTTCCATGTCTTTTGTTCTCCTTTCTATCGAGCGAGCATTATTGGTATTTATATATTGATAAGCAATGTACCATAAGTGAAAACACTCGAATTCGTAGCCACTTTGTCTGATAGAATATTCACAAATATTTTTGCTCGAAGGAATAGAAAAATAGAATAAAATAGTTTTCATCGATTAAAAAAATTCTCATTAAGTTTTGATGTGTTGATAATTTTTTACAGCTTGTTACGTTTCAGACGTTATTGATACTAATATTTTTGTTTTGAGATAGAACTGTACTTATTTATGAAAATCGTTTTCCACTGAATTCGTAAAAATTGAACTTTGTTCTTTAAGAATTTTATCTTTTTTTCCATATTCGGCATTAAAAGCAATATTACGTAGGCATGCACCAAATCCAAATCCAGTCAAACCCAAATCCTGGGTTTGACTGGATTTGACTGGATTTGGGTTTGGGTTTGACAGGATTTGACTTAGATTTGGATTTGGATTTGACTGGATTTGGATTTGGGTTTGACTGGATTTGACTAAGATTTGACCAGATTTGACAGGATTTGACTTAGATTCGACTAGATTTGACAGGATTTGACTTAGATTTGACTGGACTTTGCAAGATTTGATCAGGATCTGGGTAGACTTGCCTTGGTCTGACTGGATTTCACTAGGATCAAGCTGCAATTGATCAGATTTGACCTAGATTTGATAGAATCGAATTAGATTTTACTGAGCTTGACCAGATTTGACTTGGATTTGACAGTATTGAGTCGGAATTTATTGGATTTGACCAGATTTTACCTGAATTTGACAGGATTGAATCAGATTTTATTGAATTAGTTCAGATTTGGCCTAGATTTGAACAGATTTGACCTGAATTTGAGAGGATTGAATCAGATTTTATTGGATTAGATCAAATTTGGCCTAGGTTTGAACAGATTTGACCTGAATTTTAGAGGATTGAATCCGATTTTATTTGGTTCAATTGGATTTGATCTAGATTTGACCAGGATTTGACCTTTGTTTGACAGGATCGAATCATATTTTATCGGATTTGACCATATTTGACCTGGTTTGAGTCAGAATTTATTGAATTCGATCAGATTTGACCTGGATTTGACAGGATTAAGTCAGAATTTATTGGATTCGACCAGCATCTGAGTAGAGTAAGTTGCGTTTGACTAGGACTCAATTAGATTTTGTTAGATTCTTAGTGAATTCGGCGAGGTCTGTCCTAGATTTTACTAGATTTGGCTTGAATTAGGTTAGGATTTGATCGAGTTTTACCTGTGCTTGACCTGGATTTGATAAGTGAAGCCCGAAGAAAAACGATTACGATCATGGGATGCTAGCCTGTCTATAAAATAGTATTTGCAAAATTTCGAGTTTCATGTTTTCGTGTCAGGGGCGAACTTTTTGACCAAATCTGGATGTTCAGCAAAATTTTATGAAACTCCTAGTAGGAGACTTCATTCGTGTTCTTCATTACAGATCCACATCCCCCGATCTTGATTTACGTCCGTCAACTTTTACAGTGTATCCACATTGTCTCAAATGAGTTGATCCTGATCCAGAAAATGAAACTTCAAATTCTTGAAA